ATATATATATATATATATATATATATATATATATATATATATAAACTAAGAGGAGTTGTTATATTATTATAATTATATAATATATTTTATATATATTAATATTAATATTAATATATTTAAATATATTTTATTATAATAATATACAAACACAGCCGTCCCCCTAATATAAATAGACGGAATAACAAAAGGGCCGCTTGATGCGAAGTCAGCTGCTGCTGCTGCTGCTGTTGCTGCTGCTGCTGCTGCTGCTGCTGCTGCAGCTGCTGCTAAATGCATGCATCATGCCAAAGGTCTCACACTGCTCCTGCTGCTGCTGCTGCTGCTGCTGCTACTGCTGCTGCTGCTGCTGCTGCTGCTGCGGGGCTGCTGGGCCCTCCTATATAGGGGGCCTCCAATACAGCACCGCTGCTGAGAGCAAAGAGAGAGAGACTGGCGGCCGGTTGAAGGCGGAACAGCTGCTGCTGCTGCTGCTGCTGCTGCTGCTGCTGCTGCTGCTGCTGTTGCTGCTGCTGCTGCAATGAATAGCAGGCAGCTGTGGTTTGGGTCTGCTTGGTGGTGTCGGTGGAGGGTTAGTTCAACTAACGGAAGAGAAACAGAGTGAGCGCGAGCTCAGCTCCCTATCTAATAGGCTACAAGCAGCAACCAGATAAAGGGCAGAGAAGAAGGAACAAGCAAGGATTGCTGCTGCTGCTGCTGCTGCTGTTGCTGCTGCTGCTGCTGCTGCTGCTGCTGCTGCCGCTGCAGGGGGTCCCCACGCGGAATCGGCAGGCGGAGAAGGAGCACCGCAGCATCCCTGGATTCTCCCTGGTGCTGACGATGAGGGTAAAGAAGGAGAAAATAAAAAGAAAATAAAAACAAAAAAACAAACAAAAGTAATACAAACGAAACCCACCGCAGCTCAGCAGCCGCTCGTTGCAGCAGCGCACAGTTGTTGTGTACCCCGGCTGGAGGGGAGTTCTGCATACTGCGGGCGCGGGCGGATCTGCGGTTTTAAAGGGTCATTTTTCATGGTTTTTTTTGATTTTCCATAAAATTTAATACTGTCAAACGAATTCCGCTGATAAAAAGACCCCTTTTCGCCGTTTTCCCGTTCAAAATACCCCACAGAGAGCAGAGCACCGCCTGCCGACCCGCGGCACGGAACACACGGGGACCGAGCACTCACCTCTGGTGTATTGGCTCGTATCGACGTGCATGCAAAATGTATTTCTTTGTTTTTATAAAACAAGTTTAAAACAATTCTGAAATAATATATTTAGAATCCCGAGAGAGGAGCAGGTGCACGAGGGCTGTGCACGGGAAGGAGTTCATATCACCGTGTTGCTGAGGTGTATGTACACCTCAGCAGCTCAACGAACGAATGCAAATATTTTATACAAAAAACCCCAAAAAACTATTTAAAAATATAAAACTTTCACAGTATATTCTGAATATTTTATCTTAAATTACATAATTATAACACGATCGATGCACAGGCACAAAACAGACATCATCGAATGCACCCTTTTATATATTTGTTTACTCTGCACTGCTCAGGTGTATGTACACCTCAGACATGAAAAGAAAAGAAAAACCCAGCAATAAATATATACATATACGCGCTATTCAGGTGTATATACACCGCATAAAGGCCACGAACAACACACCCCATACACGCCTGTGTGCACCCCTGCACTGTTCAGGTGTATGTACACCCCATCCACCCAAAGAAAAGAAAAAACTTCATATACAAACAAAACCACTTCATTTATTTTATTCTTTCTCTCTATTCCACAACAGATGCCTGCAGAATACAGGGAGATGCCTCCGCTCTGACCCGTTCTTTGCTTATTAGTATAGATATAAGGATGTACATATAAATAAAGAAACAATAAAACAACATAAAGAATAAAACAACACAAGTAT